TTATTTGGGGCGAGCTTCAAGTAGAGCAGCTGCTTCTGACAATAAGACTTCGATGAAATGATATCACACAAAGAAAAGGCTGTTACTTTTATTCGTAAATAAAGGACGCCGAATGGAAAATTACAGGGTTTCGAGTGTAACAAAGAGAGATAAATCTGAAGTCTCTCACTTTTATCACTCTCACTTCCCCTGTCACGCGTGAGTGAAATCAGCTGATTACGCTACCTTGTCCATATGATGGAAGATAAACACGCCTTCGCAGACGACAGTTTATTTATGACGTAATAAAGTTTATTGTGTAGTCGTACGCGAGGCCATGGACAATTTCTCTATAAATAATTGGGAGCCATAAATTTCAATTATAATCCCAGGTGTGCCACACACCATCCAACTATTGGTGGACAGATAAGACGGACTTCTCAAATTTCAGAACAATAAATTTCGGTAGTGCCATTTGAGGGGATTTTATTCATTCCATAATTTATTTTAAACTTCACCATGGTACAAAAAAAAAATCACCAGGCAAGACCTAATTTCGAAAAAGTTGCAAAATAGTGTAATAAAATGGTATTATGATAAGAGACCACTTAAAGATTCATTTATTCAAGCTTTTCACATTGTTTTCAGAGAGAAGAAATTCCACAATCTTACATTTTTGACTACAAACTATACAATTATGAGACAACCAAAAGTAGGTATTGTTTTTATATTTACTTACAGGGGGAGAGGACAGTCGCGAGAGTCAATTATATGGTAAACCATAATTTGTGCTTAGGTCACCAGCCTAGGTCAGGTATAGCGGGTTAGCAGCATCTAATTTGCCAGTTATTACGGTAATTCCAGATACAAGGACTGGATGGCGGGGGACGCCGTAACCGATTAGTGGTTATGTGAAACACAATTCATACATATTCACACATTGCATCAAGCATTGGCACGTAGCTTAATTAATTCATAATGATCTTCCTAATTTGAAAAGAGTGAGCTTGTGGCTATGCTTTGAACAAACTTGTTTAAAAAAATATCCAATATTTCCAATTGCCACTTCAAAAACACTTCAATGTCACCAAAACCAACACAAAAGAGCATTGAATCATGGAGTTGATTTCTATGCTATATATCTGACATGGGCAATTTACGGTCTGTTGGTCAAATCCAGCCCATTGGGTAATTCAATCTAGCCCTGCAATAGACTTGTTAGATTATGCTCGTAGTCTGTATAAGTTGTATTTTAGGTTGCCACATATCGGACATTAACAAAACTTGAGGTTTTCTTGCTCACTCGATGTGACGGCTTGCTTTTCAAACAACTTTCTTTCACCTCATTTGCATCACATGTAACTTTTTTTTACACAGCCCACCAGTCTAGGTGGGCCAAAGTTTTGGCCCCTGGTACAAAAACCTTGCCCCCCTGCTATAAATACTGGTTAATTTCATTCACTAATGCCGTGGTTCTCAAAGTGAGCATTGCGATGCACAAGTGCGTCATTTCGATTTTGCTGGGGCGTCGCAAAACTTTAATTATTTTTCGGAATTATACCTGTTTTGCGATGCGTATAAAAAGTGTTGATAAAATGCGTGCGGCTCTCACAATTCACTCAAAGTTCCAATAACAATTGTAAAAAGACTCAAGTCCAACCATCACATTAAATGCAATTTTACTGGAGGTCATGAGACATGAGACATTTTGTTGTATCGAAAGGTCATACGTCGTTTTTAACGGGGAGTCGCAACTTGAGCATATTTTTTGGAGGGCGTCACAGGACAAAGAAGTTTGAGAACCACTGCACTAATGCGTTTAATCCTTGACCACAACATGTACTCCACCCTCTGGTAACCAACTCAAAAAAATCTTATGCCAACCTCCAGTAGTTACCGGTAAGTAGAGGGTTATATTAATTTGGTGATTGAATAATCAATAAATTTCAGACAACTGCCAGACATTTATAGTTATTGAAAAATATTAAATGATTTATTACTGAAATTTTAAAATAATAGTAAAACTGTAAATGTAAGATAGCATCAGACCTGCCTTAATTTCTTTGTTATCGATATTTGATAGTACACGAATAGAATTGAGTTCTTGGTAACACTTAAACATTTATCCCTTTTCTCAGTTTTATTATTAAACACACTCAAAACAATTTTATGCATCAATGGTGACTCCATTTCATAGTGGGAGCACAATCTTTAAATGGTATTTGTGAGAGTGCACTGTTTGGCTTATTATAGTTCTATCTGCCTTTCCATCATCTTTAAGGAATAGGTCACTGCTGAACATGACTTAAATATAGACATATTTTCCATAGTAAAATATGCATGAATCAATTGCAAAATTCTTGCACTTTATTGAAATTCAATTCTATTTAACATACCTATACAGTTGTAAACAAATATCTTTTGAATATCAATTTAATGCTGGCCGACCCAGCTTATTATTCACTTGATCACATTGCCCTTCCTAGCTCAAGCCATGCCTACTCTGTAGCTTATTTTAATAATGTGAAACACACACCCACAATTCTAATCAGTTCTTCATACTTAATGGCCGTTTTTGCTTAGGTTTGCCATTTGAATGACCTTTCTTATCTTTCATTCCTATCTCTGGTATAGATATAAAATTCGGAACTCCTGAAGTATGCGCACCAAGATGTCGCACAACCTGAATCTTAACCTGGTACACAACCTGAGTTCAGGTTGTGCGCCATCTTAGTGCACATTCTTCAGGAGGTCCTAAAATTTCAAAAATTAAAATGTTCTGAGCTTGTTAAAATTCTCTCAGAAAATTAAAACAAGACTTTGAAGTTTTTAAGTTTTTAACTTTCAATACTAACTTAGCAAAAATGATAAGTCATGTGAATATATATCCTAAATAAAACATTGTGATACAGGCGTTGTTTGAACAATCTAATCAATAAGTTTTCGACAACTCTTGCGCAATGACCAGATACATAAAAATACTTTTTAACTGATTGATTGACATTTTATCACATGATTTACCAAGTCATGGACACACACATATTATTGATTGCTGCATCCCATAACTGATTATTTTTTATACTTTTGCCACAAATTCTTTAGAGAATTTGCTTAAAGAAATTACAAAGAATGATCCCAGAATGAAGCTAATGACGACCACGGAAATGCCCAAAGCGACCGACACTATAAAGAATCATAGTGTTGAATATACAGCACTCACAAAAAATAGCGGCAATTCCGTAAATAAAATTTCTGATCTTTTCATTTAAGTGTTAGAACTATGAGTGGGCGTGGCTTCCCTTTTTCCAGTAAAATTGTATGATTATCTCTTTAACAAGTAATTTTATTTTCTAATTAGCTTCACGCCCTCAAAAAATTATCAAAAAATGGCACGCCCAACCATTTGGGAAAAATTGGGCGAGAATAGCGGAAATTCAAAGCTGAAAAATATTAAATCAAATCATTTCCAGACTTCAAGTCAACTTTAAGATATATTATATAAATAGGGTTTAATCCAATGCGAGACACAAAATGAATATATCATAGAAAACATATGACGGGCCTTTACATCAGGGTTGGGGAACCAAGGCTGTGACATTTTGGAGTTGAAACTAGAGCCAAGCTTACCATGTTAGATGGAGCCGCCGCTACAGGAAATTTAGTGATTTTTACTTCATAGAAATAACAAAATCTATCCTTCTCAGCTCATCTATTTTTATAAATTTCAATTTGTAATATTAATTTAAAAGTTTCAAATTGAATTCATATATTTAAAACTACAATTTGAAAACTTGAAACCCTTGCATCATAATTCTGAGTCATGCACCCAAATCTGCATTTGGGCAGATATTTCATGGTCGCACTCCAAAACCTCAATGAGTAGGAGGCCAGAGGAGAGGTCAAGTTCAAATGGCATATAAATCAAAACTGATCATAGAGGAAAAACATTGCTACATTTGTACAAGTAGTCAACATGTAGCAAATGAATGTTCTAAACGAATTCGATGCGATTTTTTGTGGAATGGAAAGTCAGCCATATTTGACAAAAAACTGTCGCAGAAAGACACAGCAAATAAATGAACAGAAACTAAGAATAGCTAGTGAAAGTAAAAAAAAAATAATAATAATTTGATTGCTAAAACATATAATGAAAGTCATGAAACAAAGGGGCATAAAAAAAAGCAAATAGTAAAAATCATGGATATACAACAACAAACTGAACTTGACAAAAAAATCTCACAATCACCACTTTCAAAGGAACGCAATGAAGAAAATATGGAACTCGACCAACTAAAAATGGATGCAATCACTTCATTGATGAAACTAAGAAATGAAAGTGATAAAATAGAAAATAATATTGATGGGAATCAGAGTAAAGATGAAAAGCCTGAAAGTCAGCCAAAGATCCTTTTGATAAGGGACTCGCAGGTAAAAAGATGTAATCTCACCACAATATGTCAAAACAATTCATATACCAGGCGGTACATTTATGCATGGCGAGGAATGGTTAAAAGCTAAAGCGCCATGTGTAGAAAATTTTGTCATATATTTTAGCACAAATCATTTAGATCAGGGGTCGGCAACCTACGACCCGCAGGCCGGATCCAGCCATTTTTGGCCCAAGAAAAAAGGTTGAAAATGACTGAGTTAGAGAGAGTCCAGCGGGAGGCCGGAAAATGTGCTTCTCAAGAGTCTTAATGATCTAAAAACATTTCAAGCTACAAAAATTGCAATGTATGATCAAAAGGGGGAGGGGTTCCCCTCAACCAGTGGTGGGATTCAGCCGGTTCGCACCGGTTCTATAGAACCGTCTCACGAAATTTTATGAGATCAGCGAACCAGTTAGCATTACTGATTTATTTACTAAAAACGATATGACTTTTCGTAACAGAACCAGCTGAAAAATATGACTTTTGTGATGGAACCGGCTGAGAAAAAATTTGAATCCCACCACTGCCCTCATCCTCTCTCTACATCCCTGCCTGAGATAACAAAATTAGGAGCAATATAAAAAATCATACCTTGTTCAGACTCCACTTCTTCAATGGCTTTATATTCTGCTTTTTCAAGTTCTGAATTGTCTTTTGTAAATATCCTCCACATTGAAGATTGATTCAGCGTGGTAGATAACTTTGAAATTAAAACCCTAATCGATTATATTAAGAAATATTTTTCTGTAAGGAGCAAATCGTCAAAGTCAATTTTTTTGGGTCTTGTGTAGTTTTGTACCTAACGTACTTCTAGTGGGCGTAGCATAACAATTTTTTGATCTGTCAATCCTAACCCCCATCCGACTACGCCATCCAAAAATTATGTCACTACGACATCACAATCACGTCATAGAGCTTGCCAAATATACGTACAATAGCCCGAAATGGCATTGCGCCGACGATAAAAAACTGACTGACGTTATCGATCTCTCTCCTATTGGAATCGTTGCGACGACAAAACGAGAGGAATGCTTGTTCGAATTCGGGTGCTCGTTTGCGCGTCTTCAGGTCTTGGATGGCAGTTCGTATAGTTTGAAGGGCTCTATTACGTCACTGTGACGTTGCGTTGACGTAATTTTTGGATGGTGTAGTCAGGTGGGGGTTAGGATTGATACGTGAAAAACTAAGCATTCGTAACAGTTTATTCTGTTATTAAGGAAGTCTTGCTTACTTCCATCATGTCCAAGCATCTGAAACAATTACCTGTACCATAATTTGCTAATCCCATACGGCCATACCGGTACCGTACGACGTTCCTTCCGTCTGACCGTACATGCCATACCGACAGATGGACATGGCTGCATCTGCATGGACTGATGGTACCGTAACCGGACGAGAAGCCGTGGTTCGCCATATGGTTAAGCCGTCTTACTGTCTTATTTACTTTCATCTCCCCTGATACCTGGATATGTATAGTCTGTCATATCAGTCTTATCGACTTTCCCCTCCCGCGGGAAGGTTGGCATAAATATGTAAATAATCGTACTACGTTCAGACATTTTCTGTAATTGTAAACGCCTGTAGCCAGCGCACAACACGTCACTGCAGCGTCTAATTTCATAACAGATCATTGGGAACATTAAATAAAAAGGGAACACTGTTTTTGAAATGAGCCAAGGTGAATTGAGAATTTACAATCAACTCTGGCTCCTAACTCCGTGTTGAAAAATTTTTACTGCGACTCCAAGCAAAAAATGGCTCCGACTCCAAACATAAAAAAAAATTGACTCCGGCTCCGAACTGCCGGGGAAATCTGATTTTATCGTCAGTAAAAGTGTATTTGTCGTCACAAAAAAACGAATGCACAAAATCTTTACAGAAAAGTTGTGTTGTTGTGCGACAGCAGTCGCGAGCCACTTTGTAAGGTTTTCAGGTAACGACACCTATAATGCTGTTACTGGTTTAGTGTGAAAAAATAAAAATAACTGCATTTTTCAAAACAGATGACTATGCAAAAGTCGTCATGGTGAACATATTTTGACTATAACCCATAAATTATTGAGAAAATTCGAAGCTAACACAATTCTGTTAAAATATATAAATGAAAGAAGGAAATGTCAAGAAGAGTCAAGTCAAGTTTATTGTACCCAACCAGCAAAAAACAGTCACATACGATATTCAAAAAAAGGTAATCATACTATTTTACTTTGGAAGGGAAGCCGCGGTGGAAGAAATTTACAAAAAAGCAAATTTGGAAAAATGTTCAAAAATTACAAGAAAGACAAACAAAGAAAAACATTTATAGTAATCAGTAATCATAAATCAACAGCAAAAGCAGATATATAGATTTCATTTCGATTCATTTGCGGAAATTTCGATAAAAAAACTACGGCGTATTCAAGCCTTCTTTGATATGCTGATAGGAACACTTGTTCAACTACTTTTCCTGTAGAAAATGTTAACTCCTATTCACCATAAAACTCTGAAATTCTGACTCTGGGGAATTCAACATTTCGACTCAGACTCCAGGGAATTTGAAATTACGGCTGCGTCTCGACTGCAAGTGCGTTTACAATAGGCAAGGCAATGTTAGTCTGGTGCAGGGATGGGCAAGATTTTTGGAACAGGAGCCAAATTTTGCCCACCTAGACTGGCAAGTCTAGACTTGTTAGACCTGTGAGTAGGTGTGACGTAAAAAGTTACATTTTATGGACAATATTTACACTGTTACAAAAGCAAAATTTTTAATATTCATTCCCAAAAGACGATGACATTTGATTGACAGATGTTAAGTTCTATTCATTATAATCTATGTTCTCCCAATCTATTACGGGAAGGTAATTTATCTGAACTGTATGAACTCCAGCAAGATGCCAAAAATATGATAACACACGTGTCAAACATACAGGACGGAAAAATCAAGAGAGAGAGAGAGTTTATTTCAGTTTGTCAAACCAAGAAAACAATATACATTATGCATACATATATAAATATCAAATAAACAGATCGGTTTTCGATACATGACTGGGACTGGGAGGCAATGCTACGACCTTTGGGGGTCATAAGACTGAGTATTGGAGTGACTGAGCAAATCTTATGTGATACATCCCATTTGAATTTTTGTTGGTTGGCCGAATTGCGGTAATAAACAACGAAGTCGATGCTCGAACTAACATAAAATGAGTTTTATAAGTGTTCGAGATATTGACTCCTTGCAACACTCAAAGCAATTATAGAGACGCGGCATTTTATGATGCAACGGTCAACGTCAGCACGCAGCAACGCTTCCGATCCGTTCGGATTTTATTTTATTTTCATGTATAGGTAAATCGATTATGGAAGGAAAACCGTTAACAGGACATTTTAAGTGATCTACCACACATAATAAATCAATAGTTTGACTGTCTGAAGGTATACGTTCGTGTTTTTATTTTGTAATAGCCTACCGGTATGTTTGTGTGCGTAAAATGGGTGAACAGGCACACGCATTTCGGGTCTAGTATAGTTTAGTACCACAAGTACTTCCGGTGGGCGTAGCATAGGTAACGAATTTTGCATATGCTATTCCTAACCCCCACCTGACTATGCCATCCGAAAATTACGTCACTACGACGTCACCATCACGTCATAGAGATTGCCAAAGTATAATTACGATCGCCCAAAATGACATCTGCGCCGACGATAACGATCTCTCTCCTATCGTGATCGTTGTGCAAGAAAACTGGAGAAATTGATTGCTCGATTTTGGGTGATCGTCTGCGCGTTTTGGACGACCATCCGCATACTTCGGTGGGCCTTATTACACCACTGTGACATCGAAATGACGTAATTTTTCGGTGACATAGTCAGGTGGGGGTTAGGATTGACATATGCAAAAATTGTTGAGCCAGGTCAACTAGAAGTAAATGTGGTACTAAACTATACCAGACCCCGCATTTCTGTGTGTTTTAAACCTTATTAAAGGTTTTGCCTGTTGTCCCCATTATTCTGTGTGTTCATTCTTATGTTTTGTGTGTTCATTGTTTGTTTCGTGTATTTTATTTTAAGGGAGGTCGAAATAAACTCTGCATGTCCCCGGGATAAATATGTAAATTCAGAAATTCGATCCAATCCTGCATGTCTGCACGTATGGTTAGTCGGTGGTATGACGATACAACTGACTGACTGGTAGTCTGCTGGTAGCTTGAAATTATTATATTGTTTTACGGGGATACCGGTACCGTAATTCTTGCATTTTTATTTTGTGATTTTTGAGTCTACTGATTGAGTTTGAACCATTTTGTGAGTCCCCATTTGAATTAACTCTGTAACTACTGAACTAGTAAATCAGTATGGCACACTATACAAATCGGGTGACATTGTACTTGTACCGTTTCAGAGAAACCCATTCTACTGATGATCAGACACCCCTCCTTTGGGAGACGTCTGAACATTGTTGTCCCTCAATATCGGTAATAATACAGTATAATGAAGTTGCGCAAACTACTACAAAAAAGCGCAATCTAATAACGTCATTATTGAATTCCTTGGAAAAAAATCTGATTTACCGAAGGAAAAAAAATTTTACAGTGGCATTCGAGAGTTTTTAGCAAAAAACAGCAATTTTGGTCATGTGACAGCCGCGATTAATTTAGATTATTATTAAGACAAGCATGACGCGATATGAAGCATCTGACGTGGTCCCAGACGCCCTTCGTTTGTGAGACACGTAGAGTGTTTGTTTTATTGAGCCTTGGAATTTGTTTAGTGTGCTGTACTGTATTCTCTCGCAGACCCTTTTTCTGAGTGAAATGTATATTAGCGTTGTATGGAAAATTAATCTTAATATGTTAAATTTAAAACAGTTTTTAGTGTATTTTTGGGCTATTGCAGTATTGAATGAATAATGGCAGACGGGAGTCAAAGTGATGTCACAGCAAAAGCAAAAAGACAACAACCTGATTGGTCACCTCCAACTCAAGATGACCAACCCCGATTAAAATTATATAACAGCTTGACAAGACGAAAAGAGGTTTTCGTTCCACAGTTTGGAAATCGAGTTCTGTGGTACTGCTGTGGTCCTACTGTATACGATGCATCTCATATGGGCCATGCTCGTTCATACATTTCGTTCGATATTTTACGTAGAATATTGTCCGATTACTTCGGATACGATGTTTTGTATTGCATGAACGTCACGGATATCGATGATAAAATTATTAAACGCGCCAGACAAAATCATTTGTTAAAAGAATACCAACAGAGGGCCACAGAATTGAAAAAAGTAATTGAAGACGCTAAAAATGCTCTGAAAATTTACAAATCGAAACTTGATGACACAACCGATCCTGACAAGAAAACAATGCTCATAAAAATAATAGAAACTGCTGAAAAAAGCTTATTACCTGCTGAAGAAAAATCAAAAATAGAGAGCGGCGATACCTCGTCTACAAAACAAGAAATTGAATCGTTAATTCAAGACTGTAAAGATCCTCTTGCTGAATGGCTCGACGCGCAATTTGGAGGTTTTATAACTGACAATTCAATCTTCTCTGAACTACCAAGGTACTGGGAAAAAGAATACTTTAAAGACATGGAGGCCCTCAACGTAGCTCCTGCAGACGTTTTAACCCGCGTTAGCGAATATATTCCGGAAAATATTGAATTTGTTGCGAAAATTATTGAAAACGGTTTCGCCTACGAAGCTAATGGTTCAGTGTATTTCTCTGTGTCAGATTTTGACAACTCTAAAGAACATTTCTACGCGAAATTAGTTCCAGAAGCTTTTGGCGATCAAAAAGCTTTACAAGAAGGCGAAGGAGACTTAAGTTTGTCTTTAGGAGGGAAACGATCACAAAATGACTTTGCGTTATGGAAAGCTTCAAAACCCGGGGAACCTGCATGGGACTCTCCGTGGGGAAAAGGGCGCCCAGGTTGGCATGTCGAATGCTCAGTAATGGCGTCGTGTATTCTTGGCGGGTCTATGGACATTCACACAGGAGGAGTTGATTTACGATTCCCGCATCATGACAACGAGTTAGCGCAGTCAGAAGCGTACCATAATAACTCACACTGGGTGAGATATTTCCTGCACTCAGGGCACTTGACTATACAAGGATGTAAAATGTCAAAATCTTTAAAGAATTTTATTACTATAAAAGATGCGCTGAAGAAAAACACGGCTCGACAACTTCGATTTGCGTTTTTATTGCACTCTTGGAAGGATACGCTCGATTATTCTAGCAATACTATGTCAGACGCCATGCAGTATGAAAAATATCTTAGCGAGTTCTTCTTGAATATTAAAAATATTTTGCGAGGGACTTCGTTTACTGAACCGGAAAATTTTAAAAAGTGGGGGGAAGAGGAGGTCGCATTGAATAAAAATTTTAATCAACATCAACAGAATGTCCATGCCGCGTTATGCGACAATGTCGACACTCGTACAGCAATGCATTGTATAAAACAACTTGCGACAACGACAAACACGTACATTGCAAAAAAGAGAGAACTAAAAATGGTTCCGGATGGTTGGTTACTGAAAACTATTGCGAAATACGTCACAAAATTGATGAGAATTTTCGGTGCAATCGAAGGGGGTAACGTGGATTCAGTCGGATTTCCGTTGGAAACTAGCGGTTCCGCTTCAAGCGATTTAGAAGAAACTGTTATGCCGTATTTAACAGCATTTGCAGATTTTCGCGAAAATGTTCGAAAGATTGCTAGGGAGCATAAAGTCACTGAAGCGTTAAAATTATGCGATCAAGTGCGAGATGATGTTCTTCCAGAACTCGGAGTGAGACTCGAAGATTTAGATAATTCGGAAACAGTTGTGAAACTTGTTGACAGGGAACAACTCATGCGTGAAAAAGAAGAAAAACTGAAGATCGAAGAAATGAAACGTAAGAAAAAGGAGGAGGCTGCAAAGAAAAAGGCTGAACAAGAAGCCGCGAAACTAGCAAAGAGCAAAATTTCTCCGACAGAAATGTTTTTGGGTGAAACAGATAAATATTCTAAATTTGATGAAGATGGTTTCCCATTAGTAACGACCGATGGAAATGAACTCAGTAAAGGTCAGATTAAAAAGTTGAAAAAAGTATACGACACTCAAAAGAAATTGCATGACTCGTATCTTGCGACTCTGCAAAATGGAGCAAAATAATTCTAGAGTGAATCCAAGTTGAATAGTAGGTATGGATATTTTGAAAAGAGCACGCCCCCCCCCCCCTTATCAGACTGAAATATTTTGAGAAAAAAGAGGCCCTCTCCTCCCACTAAACTGTCCCAAATAAATTTGAAGTATTGTACAGCATACTGGATTTTCGGCAGGGTTTAGGCCATTCATATCTTTGCTCTGAGATAAGTCTTTGCTTCTGATTGAGTGCACTTAGAGAAGATTTTGTAAAATATCTGATTCATTTCTACACCAAATGTCTATGCTCAGGTGCTAGTTATATATTAATATGGTTACTGGTGAATAGCAGTTTATTTTATGCTTACTACTAGAAAAAAATTTTCTAAAAATCCTAGTTTATATATTTGTTAAAATAGCTTGACTTATTAGTTTCAAAATTTTAAAAATGGCAACTAAACTGTCTAAACCAAATTGTACCCCAAATTTAAGTTATTGTTGATAACAGATTTTGTTTTAAATAGTTATTCCTGAATTGCTAGGTCAAATTTTTCCCCTTCATATTGCCATCCTCCATTTACTGATATTTATTGTTATGCATTTGAGCTGTATTAATTAGAAACTTGGTGAATTTATTTGAACTTGCTGAAACTTGATGGGGTGAGACTGCTTGGGTGCCGCACCCCCCTTATTTTCAATTCTAATCCAGCCAAAAATATAGCAGATCCTTGCATATCAGTGAAAGTCGCTATGAAAAATTGGCATAATATATTTATCATTCCTTTTTCCTGTTTCTTGTTAATTTTTAGAAAAATTTAAACATCATCCTGACATATGTGTAGTTTACATTTTGCAATTTTTTGTCATCGTATATCTTCCTATAACACATGGGTTCCCAACCTTCTATGGCTCGTGGCCCCCATCCATAGGCTTTTAGCACGCATGAACCCCCCCCCCCCCCTCTCCATCATTACAGTAGTATTTATAGTGCTATTTTATCGATTGGTAAATTCCGAATCCCATTATGTTCAAACAATTCATGCTCAACAAAGTGAAATAACCTTAAAGCAATGTAACTGAACAGGAAATTTTCTTGTAAGGGGAAATCAGTTTTTTTCCCAGCCTGGAGGGGGGGGGGGGGGGCTCCAACTGTTCTGTTGCCCCAGGTTGGAAACCACTGCTATAACACAAGGCCATAGTAAAATCAATTTAGCTCATGTCACATTTCAAGGTTTTGATAGAATCACATTTTTGGAATAGTTTGGTTCTCACAGCCAAATCTAATAATGGACATAAGGCACCGCCTATCAAAACTAAAATAGATACAGCTTCAAAACCCAAACCAAAAGACAACCCTTGGTCTATACTAGCAGGAAATCAAAAAGATCATTTCTGACAAATGTGTATTAAGTTACGTTGGGTTTACTGTAGCAATATGTTGTATATTTGTAATCTTTTAATGACAGTGGAATATTGTCTATCATGTTCTTGTGTCCTATTTATCATTTTTCATTTATTTTACGTAAATAGCGTTCTAGAATGGTGTGAGGGGGACGGCTGTAGGAATATTTAAAAAAAATTTGAATTAACAGATATTGAAATGTTAGAAATAGTAATTTATTCAGTTTTATCAATTTCAAATTTTTCGTAGTTACATATTTTATAGTTTATATATACAATATTTATGTACTGACTAGAACAGGGGACGGCAGCCTTTTGTCGCTCGCAAAATTAAGGGTTGCAAGTCTTGGTGTGCCGCACATATTTTTTAGAAAGTTAAAAATTGAACAGATGGCTATTGAATCATAATTTTTCCACACCGATTAAAAAATTACAAATGACATTTAATGTGATACTGTCTTGATTTGCATCACGTTTGATAGCTTTTCGACATCGTCGCCCACCTCTGGGCTAGAATATCAATTCATTGCCTGGGCATTTCAAACCGAATCAAACAGTACATTTTACTAATCGGCGGAAATTTCATTTTACTGGATCTCAAGACCATTATTGCTTGAATATAATAATTATGCTGCCATATGCATCTTGATTGTTTCATTATTTTGCTAATTCATGATAGATTTCCCGCATTTATTAATATTAATAAGTTTGAATGTTCTATGTAATTCAAGATTCTTGTTGCATACTAGCACAATTGTATTTATGTAATATCATGTCTGGTGTCAGGCCTATGTCGATCGGAATAATCTGAGGAGACCAGACAAAACATTGCAGAAATATATTTGTGTTTTACTGGAAAGCAATACTAAATTTCTAATCTTATACTAATTACGCTGCCAAATGCATCCATAAAAATTTGAACATTCTGATTCAGAATCAAGTTGAACTTGCGAACATACATATTTTATCTATGGCCATACTTGGCTGAACATTGTTTTCCATAATTGATTTGACATAATAGTTTAGCCTCAGGCCATGACTGGCTGCAAATTTTCTTTTTACATTTTAGTTTCATTATTATTGATCTGAGCATTGTACAGTTATAATTAGCATATATATGAGAAGCAGTGACACCCATATCTGGTTAGTTAAGTATTCTAGGTTTTGATGTAATAAGGTATTCAGTCGAGGGACCTAACCGAAAACGCTAAATTTGTGGAAATGAGGAAAATGTATATTTTTGATTCAAACTATGATTAGATAGCTTCTTAGAGAGCTCTTATTTTTTTTGCAATATTTCCAAATAAATTTTGCATTTTTGGTTGTTTAAATTTACATTTGCCGACTTGTATTAAAACCCTCTCGTTGGGTTTTAGTGTTGACTCAATGCCATAATAGTATTTTTATTCCACATTCTATATTTACAGTATGATAAACTGTCTCCTCGTTAAATATGGCCCAATTTAGAAAACTGTATGTTCAATATTTAAGAGTATTTCGTGAAATTTAACAAAATGCAAAAACTGTCCAAAATACATTGTTATTTAAAATATTCAAATTTGAATTAGATTGAATTCATGTTTTCAAAATCGAGAATACCACACTATCCAGATATGGACCTGAAGTGTAAACTTACTATACCTTATTGTGGTGTTACATTAACTATTATATGCTTTGCTTAGTAATTGCTAACAATATGGAATGCTCTATTTTCATTGTAGGTGCCATAGGCTAACTGCATTATATTCAGCATAGGTTTAAGTATTTTATGGATATTTGAAGAGGAGTACTAAAAGGTAGAAGAGATACTAAAGGTGTTCAACAGGTATGGACGTTGTTTTTATATATATACCTAGCTATACATTTTCTGCTCCAAACAAGGCTTTTCACAAGCTCCACACTGTTATATGAGTGGCCACCTCATCTTTACATACCCATCCCACAGGACAGGGAAAGCCGATAAGCGACTCAATTAATCACATGGCAACCCACGACCTTTTGTCTGGTTATCAGTTCATGTCAGGTGTGATAAACCTAACACAGAAATGAACAAGTAACGTTAACTAAGAATTGTAAAGCAGCACGAACCAAAGAACGAGAATATCGGTCGGAGACCGAAGACTTATCGATCTTAGATCGGTAATTAGTTAATAACTCTCTAATTATACGACATAATTAACCCAAAATCTATAGGCTTCTGGTCCGAGGTAAGATGCATGCACATGCAAAATTTGGAGCAGATTCAACCACGCGTTCGCGAGATATCGCGTTCATCTAACAGACACACACACAGACAGACATACATACAAACAGACAAATACCTATCAATATACTTACCGATCTTAAGATCGATAAGTAATGACTTTCAAATCAAAACACCGTGTTATTAGAGGACGAACAGTATGCGTCTGCAGGGTCAAATGTCGTGACTGTTAAACGCGTTGCTAGATTTCAAGACACAAATCATCACAATGCATATGGGATTCAGCAAGTTATCTGTTGCAGATGCTTAGACTAGATGGTGGAGGAAAATGTAATCGACTCCAGAAATCCTCTCACCAGTAATTATCCTCACTTGAGATTTGAACCTGCAAACCCACACAGGGTAATCGGAAGTGTGGTGTTGAGCGTATTCCTAACGCTGAGCATGATTCGCCACACCACTGAGCTCAATTGAGTAGGCAAATACCAATCCTGTCCTACCAAAAACAATAATTCCTCACATATCGTTAGATTTTGGTAGCCGTTCGCACCGGGCCACTTTGATGTATAAATATGGACAGTATTTGAAAAAGTGGTCTGAATATAGCATTGTTTTCAGATTTTAATTTGTTCAATATGAGTTTGAAGAAAATTCATTTTATTTCGAATTTTGCAGATCAAAAAAAAAATGGGCAAAACAGTTTTGAAACTTATTCGTCGCATAAATGACAAATTATCGAGGAAAAAAATTCTCTCAAAGGTGAAGAAAGAACCAAAGCGTAAAAACAGACTCAAACCACCTCCAGAGGTGACTAGAAAGAAACTCCAACCACCACTGGAAGGTTGGAAAAGAAAAAAGATCATTAAACTCTTCGAACAAGGGTTGAATGTCGTCGCGATCGCTAGAAGACTGGAAATTGCAAACTCATGCGCCAGTAGGATTTTGAAAAAGTATGTATTGATAATTTTTAGTGTAATTTTTTTTTTCAGATTCAGATATTTATTTTTGTCGTGCAACAAACATCACTAAAAATTGGATGAATTCATCGGAAAAACTTACAATGTTTCAACTGCAATAGACGAGGGGTTGCGAAAAGATTATCAAAGTCGTCGAGTCAGCGATACTATTTTCCAGTAGCATATGAAGATGCAACACACCACTGAGCCCATGTAAACCACCCATAAAAACAGCTACCACATTTATAAGGAGTTGGGGTAGACCAGGGGTTCCCAAACCAGGGGTCGCGACCCCAAGTTGGGTCGGAGTGATAAGTAGGTAGGGTCACAAACAGGTCATGGGGTTGGTGGGGTCGCTGAGGTATGGTAGAGGATGGATGTACAAAACATCTAAGATTCGACAAACCATGTTAAATTTAGCAGTTTGTACCGTGACTTACTGTAAAACAAGCCCATAGGCATCGCTCTATGCTTATGCTATAGAAAATGTAGGTGCTTATTGTGACATTACTGTTCGGTTTCAGCTTATTTTACTTAATACCACCACATGGCCAAACTCAAAAGCTCCGTGAAAAAAGCTTTAAAGTTTCATGAAAAATATATATATTAACCTGGGGTCACACTGGACACTTGAAAGTTGTCTTCGGGGTCGCCCTGAAAAAAGCTTGGGAACCCCTGGGGTAGACTCTAACCCAGTGGTTCTCAAACTGTTTGATAAATTTTGCATAATGGTCTCCTCACAAATTTTCTGATGACTTGTGGTCGACTAAAGCAGGGGTGCACAACACGGGGCACGCGTGCCAAATTTGGCACGCTATACGCTCAAATGTGGCACGCGAACGGTGTTGTAGAAAAAAATTATTTATGATATACATTAAAATATCACGTTTATATCCAAATCAGCAGTTTTTCGGGACATTGATTGTTTCAATAAATAGATATCCGTTATTATGTATTTTTATTGAAATTTGTTTGTTTTGCGGGAGGTAATTTACAATACCACAATTGTGCGTGGCACGCGACAAGAATATTTTGAAAAATTTGGCACGTATCCTCATTTGAGTTGTGCAACCCTGGACTAAAGAATTGAAATCAAATAGCAACGCAACCGGTATCAAACATTCATTTATTGCATGTAATTGTACAGTTCAATGGGTGTAATTGCTAAGCTTCCAGTAGTTTCTTTCGTTTTGAGTTCAGATTTGGACATTGCAACTCTCCTATTATGTCTCATTCACTCATTTCAATTCTATCCTGGAAATTTGTTTTAATAGCGAGTAGCAGAGCAATTCATGTTTTAGCTTCTTTCTTGTGGAAAACTGAGTATTTTTCCCACATAAATGTTAAAACTTCTATCTTCACTTCACTTCGAATGCTCTAAGGCGCAATTCCCTATATTTTCCAGGTATCGCGAGACGGGGAGTCTTCAGCCAGGAGTTGCGGGGGCAGTAAGTAAAGTTTACACCCCTGAGATTGTGAAGAAAATTATTGAATTGAAACGAGAGAACCCAAACATCTATGCATGGGAGATTCGAGACAGGTACGTATACAGTTTTCAGTGGAACTTTGGTATGCGATCTTAGAAGTTGTGGGATCTTAGTGATTTTCGTATTTACGTAACCAGGGTTAGGAGCTCTAATTGAAAATTGACTAAATTATCAGGTATTTGAAAATGCCCAGCCCTGATGAATTGCGTTCGGGTGGTCGAAACCGGGAACCCAATTCCAAACCCAATTTCCAATGTTTTGGAATATTTGATGTGTAAATCCTTGCCCTGATTAAACTCTGTATCAAAGGCAAATGATGATCAGGATACCCCCGTCATAAGTGATTTGATGATAAACAGTCTCTTCACAAGCTGATGCCTTTGTTACAATGTGGGGAAATTGATGCGGGCCCACTTATTGATAATTGTACAAGTACACAAATATTTCGACTATTTTGTTCGTAGTAGAGCAAACTTTAAAAAGATAATGGTACAAGTTACCCTGCCGGTACTCCCGAAGTATATGAACCAAGATGGCAGACACTGGATCGTAGTATGTGTACCAGGTTAGGGTTAGGATATAAATTTGTTAGGCCACAATTTTATTCCAATTTTCCTTATTTTTAGTTCGGGAGTTCGGGGACTAGCCAAGTGACTCCCGTAGTATGTGAACCAAGATGGCGGACACCTGCACATGGTATGAGTACCAGGCCATGATTTTATTCCAATTTTCTTTATTTTAGTTCTATTACGAGTTCAGGGACTAGCTAAGTGACTCCCGTAGTATTTGTACCTGAAATTATGGCCTGACCCTAACCTGGTACACATACTACGTTCTGGTGTCCGCCATCTTGGTTTAAATACTTGGGAAGTACCCAATTGCTTATACCAGCGGTTTCCCAACCAGGGGCCTATGGCTCCCTCACAATCAGTACCAGTTAGGAATGCAATTGAGATCTTGTCACTCCAAGTGAGATTGTATACCGAAGTGGCAGTTTTCTAATAAATTCTGAAATAATTACTTAGAAAAAAATTTTCTTGGTCCGGCATGGGGACACTAACATGATCCAACATGCTTTAACCACAAGTCAAGTCAAGTTTATTTTTTCCAAACATCAAAAAAAATATCACAAGCACAAATTACGAGAAAACGATCATTCACACATTTGTACTGGGGAAGGGAAGTTGCAAGAAACCTATCAAGCAGCGACAAACAAGGCTTAAATATCTAACGGCTTTCTCCACCACCAAGTCCATGCTTCCGAAAACAAACAATATAACTAATCCCATACCCGACTTGGAATGGTAACCGGACGAGAGGCCGTGGTTCGCCATATGGATAAGCCGTCTTATCGGCTTTCCTCTCCCCCGGGATAAATATGTAAATCTTAAATCCTAAAAGTTAGAATTCTAGAGTTATGAAACTATTGATATTGACGCTGAGTATCGTATGAAATATCTAACTAACACCGCTTACCAGAGATTATTTAATAGAGGCCGCTAAATATTCTATTATTCACAGGTTGATAGAGAAGCCTCCAGCCTCTTGTATATCATCGATAAATCGGATACTACGGCTGCACCGATCAGAGTGGAAACCGGAAGTGAGAGTTGTGAGACGGAGATATAAGAAACCAACGGCACTGACGCCGGAAGTAATCGCAAAAATAATGGAATATAAAACTGAATCTCCTCTGACTGTCGTTCGAAAAATTCGAGAACGTTTGTTAGCTGAAGGCATTTGTGACGACGATACTTTACCGAGTATTACTACTATACGGAGATACTTGAGAAAATCAAACATTTCGTTGCGTCAGATTTTAAATCGAACCAGATCAGACGCTACTCTTGAATCTGATGTTCTATCTTCCGCTGAAGCGGATTACGAAGAAGATATGCCACCTAGAGGATTTAAGATAAGTGAAATAGATCACGAAGATGATACGCCACCTAGTGGACTTGAGATACCTTCACTTTTACGTCGAGAGATTTTAACGACAAATCCAACAGCGCTGTATGAGGTACGCGTACTAGAGCAAAGCGCAACTAGAAAGCCAGAAAATAGCTTAGTATCGTTAAATCAGATACGAAGGCTTCACCAATCAGAGAAAGAGCCTGAAAAAGGAGTTTCTAGAAGAAGTTATAAGAAACCAACAGAATTAACGCCGGAAGTAACTGCAAAAATAATGGAATATAAAACTGACACTTCTTTAATTGCCGTGCGAAAGATAAGGGAGCGTTTGTTCAATGAAGGGGTGTGTAACGACGATAATTTACCGAGTATTACTACAATACGACGATACTTGCAGAATTTGTACATTTCGTTGCGTCATATTTCTAATCGAACCAGATCAGACGCTACTATTGAATCTGATGTTCTATTTTCTGCGGAAACGGATTACGAAAGCGGTATGCCACATAGTAGACTTAGGATAACGGAAATCGATTATGAAGACGATATGCCACCTAGTGGGTGTCAGGAAAATTCAACGACAAATCCAACTGCATTGTATGAAATTCAGATTCCAGAGCAAAGCGTAACCGGCTCTCAACCAGAAAAATCAGAATCTGAAATCGATGCACCATTTAGTGGTCATGACATACCGAAGAAAAATGTCACACCTGAAAAACGACGAAAAATTAAGATTAATCCACCAAAACGTAAAACTACAGTCAGCAAAGACTTTGTACAGAATAAACAATCAGAATCTGGTATTGATTTACCTTGTCAAAGCGACACGACTTTACCGCCCAAAAAGCGGAAGGCAAATAGGGTTCCTCATACTACTGATGTCTTCCCTTTTGGGGAACAGACTATAAATGTCTCTATTTTCAAAGACTTTCCTCAATTATGGGGATCTGGAGACTTGATTGACTATTCTCAGAAGCGAAATTCTCTGAAACGTAAAGTACCAATGCAGTGCTTAACTGGGCAAATCCCTGAAAGTGGGGATTCTGTCGATTCAAATGCAAATAGGTTGTACAAAAAGTCTCGATCAGGGGACAATTCTCCTTTCAGAAATTTTAATGAATTAGAAGTCGCTGAGCCGTGCAAGGTCGTCAGGTTAAATGAAATTAACAATTATTCGTGTTTGAACACGCAGAACCAAATGAACCGTATCGTCTACTCCTCTAGCAGAATAAATGGGCCTAATTTCAATGAATCAGATTCTGGCTGCGCTACCTCGTCTTGGTCTATTGAACAAGACTCCGCCCACATTGAGGAAGAATCGATTCAACCAAATTTTGATTGTAAAATTGATAAATCGTCGCCGTCTTGGGAAGAAAAAAGCCTTGAGCAATTTATATCGACTCCAACCACTACCGATAAACTCAAACCACCACCTCTTGTGAATTGTTTCGAAAAACCTCCGAGGCCGATGCGACATCGGCATGTTAAATTTGAACTTCCAATGGAATTGCTCTCAAGCTAACGTTTGTGGGGAGAGAGCCCGAAAAAATTGAGCTCAATTGTCGTCGATTGAAAAAGGTGTCGCCTTCGACACAATTAAAATTTCAGATTTATGCAAAGAAATTGAAATCCTTGCAAAATAAATTATCTTAGAACAGTGCTTCCCAAACCGCGGGCGGTGGGCCATTCACGGCGCGCGTGAATTGATTTAATATGGTCCACCAAAGATACCCTCAATTGTTATGTCATTATCACAGTTTATCAAGCATGTGTATATTTGTAACATTTCAATTATACCAATATCGCAATTATGCGTACCGGTATCGATCGGCCCCTTGAGGGCACTTTCCTGGCCTGCGAATATCCTTCTAAATTTGGCCCCCCAAGTTAAATAACATTGGGAACTACTGCCTTAGAATATTTGAAATTGATTTTTTTGATATTTGGGCAATGTAGAATGATTCACTGTTCTGCCTTAGAATATGATATTTGGGCAATGTAGAATGATTTACTATTCTGGGATACTCAAGTTGAATCCAAATACCGAATCCTATTCTATTTTTATACTTAGATATTTAAATAGTGGGAAATTCCTACCACATTGCTGGGTTAAAATTGTAAATGTATTATTGTCGTCTTATTTAATTGGAATTTATTTGACACGAACAGGTATTTTACAGGCCAATGGCGCTCCAGTAGTATATGCACCAAGATGGCAGACACGGGAACGTTGCATGTGTACCAGGTTAAGGTTAGGCCATAATTTTGTTCCAATTTTTCGGGGACAAGCCAAGTGTCTCTTGTAGTATTTGTACCTAAATTTATGGCCTAACTATAACCTGGTACACATATGACGTTTTGGTATCCTGGTACACGTACTTCTGGAGTACCATGAAATTTAATAATGCGGAAACTGAATCCTATTATTGGATTATTTGGGACTTGACCGAAATTATTCTGGTTCGGCGTTGCTTTCCAACCTTTTTCACTTTGCACCCATTTTTTTTGCCCGACCCATAATGAGATTGTGGTTGACATAAGCGAAAAGAAACAATGTATCCCCATGCAATTTATCATTAATGCGAAACTTTAGCTTGCATACTGGATATTATTTGATCAGGTTGAGACAATCTAACGCGCAACGTAGTATTAAAACTCAACACATTGTGTTTTGGCTTGAAGTCGAGTCAATGTTGTGACCCTGGGTTGCGAAGCACTGGCCTATCTAATTTATCAACACACTGGGTGAGGCGATGGGCATGTTTTTGGACTCAAGATATGCCCTCTGTGAATGCTGTGATGCCCATATAGTTGGGTCTAATCCAGACATGGGCAAAGTACGGCCCGCGGGCCAAAAGCGGTAATTCAGTCTGGCCCGCCTGATGCTGCCACAACCAGATTGTGAAACCAAATTTTTATGTTTCAGCTCAAAATAGCTCAAGGAATTTGTTGAGATATTGGTTAAATTTAGTTTTGGCACGAGGCTTATTGTTTTCCAACTTTGCTTTATAACACTGTAAATATTGTTCATAAAATGGAACTTTTTTTACGAAACACTTAATGGCCACCAGACCACCTCTGGTCTAAGGCCACCATGCAATATCGCAGGTGTTTGCTAAACATTCAAATTTTTTAATTTTTTTTAATATTTTTTGCAATTGAATTGTGACGAAAGGAATTGCGTTAGACACAATCAAATTTTTTTTTTGCATTGTGACATCATGGTTCATCTGTTCAAATATGGCCAGGGGAGGGCATAGGGGGCAGTAGCCAAAAGAGCTTGATCTTTATACATTGTAGAGGGGCGAGTATGTTGCTTGGTTTGATTCAATAATAATAGAAACACTCTTATATTTGACCTTGTGTATAACAATGTTTATAATTTATTTATTTCCCCGAATTATGAAGTTAGATATAAGGGGCATCATTATCAGAAACTCGCCCATGCAGCAGAAGAGTTTCACATGCCGCTGAATATGGCCATCTATATTTTACAGTTACTGATATTTTCAGTTCTGTGTCAATCAAAACAATGGAATTATTATTTGAATATGGTGTTTTTACATTATTTGGTTATAAATTATAATTTTGATTTAATATATAAGATTGAAAAATTATGGAAGTGTACATTTTGTTTATGTGAAGCTGACAGATTTTGAAAATATTCGATTTTTTATGATGAAGTCATGACATTCGAAAATGAAATTTTATTTGATCGAAACGACATTTGTGCCAAACACAATGAAAAATTATGGAAGTGTACACTATGTTTATGTGGAGCTGACAGATTTTGAAAATCTTCGTTTTTTTATGATGAAGTCATGGCATTCGAAAATGATTTTTTATTTGAACAAAGCGAGATTTGTTCCTAACGACAACTCCTCTCTATCTGCATTTGAATTAATGAATCATGGGGTTTAAAATAGAAAGTTAATAAATGCAGGTTGAAATGGAGGTTAAAACAGTCGCTTTGGACTGAGAATTATTGCAATGTTATATGTACTGTAATTTCAGTCATGTGTTATGTTAAGGTATCCTTATTTTTGCAGACAATGTTCGATCATTGCTCATTGTTTCATTTTATTTAGAATTAAAACCCCAATGCACTGAATCGTTCAAGAATTCAATCGCTTCAACAATCGAATCCCTCGAGCGTTTGATAACAAAATTAATAACTACAAATCATATAGTCCAGTGGTTCCCAGACTGCGCATAACGATTTAATATTCCCGCCTAATTCAAGTGAAATAGTTCAACTGTATGTTTTTGCAGTCTAGATACCGTCAATTGTTATGTCATCATCCCAGTTTAAGCACTGTATAATCGTAACAGTTTAATCATACCATTATCTTAATTATATGTACAGGTTTTAACCCCCTTACGGGTGCTTCCCCCTTTCCCGGCCAGCAAATATCCTTTCGCTTCTAATTTTGGCCCCTCGGTCAATCAACTTTGATTTTTTTCAAATTCTGATTTAAACCAACCGATTCTCTTAGATTATTTTATATCAGGAGTTTTCATTTGGGGCCCTTGGCCCCCGAGGGGGCTATGGAGCCGATGAAAGGGTCCCACAATGCTAGACGCAAAACTAATTTTTCTACTTTTTTCTTTACAAGAAAACTTTCTTCCTAGTTTCATTGCTTGATAAGGTTATTTCACTTCATGAATAGTTGGAGCATAATGGGATTTGGAATCTATGAATCATATAAATACCACTATAATGATAAACAGGGCCTATGGACCTTTCCCCGAGCATCGACTTCCTTGTTTACTTCGTGACATTGGCCAATCAGCAAATTGCAAAAAGTGACGTAACAAAGCTACCTTTTCGCATCCGCTCAGACACTTTTCTCACTCAGACAGATTTTCAAGCGTGGTCGTAAACATTACCTCGTTTTCGCATTTTTGAACTCTATTCGTTAGTTTTCAGTTGTGTTCTGGAAACTTAAATGTAAATCAGATATGTCAATGGTCACCCTGTCTTCCTAGGAGTTTTAATTTAATTGCAGTAATAAAAATTAGTGTAGAAATAGCTGTGATAGACTAGGCTAAAACTCTTCAACGGTAATTTTAAAAAACAGATTGTTGTATGCGATGAATCATAATGATGGTTTGAAACACATACCCCATTTTACAAGCGCCAACTCGCAAAAGAACTCTTAGATAGCCCCGAAAATTTTGCAATGGTGAAGTATAGGATGAATTTTTCGGGGGTCAAAGGTCGGGGAAAGGTCCATAAGGTTGGGAACCACTGTTTTATATTATAATTCAGAGCCGGAATTTTGTTTTTCCTATCATCCAAGTCAATGCACTTGACTAGGTCTTTTCGCCAATATGTCTCTCCCCCAAGGTCATGATAGACTTGAACTACCATTTTTTCTTTCTTGTTATTTATAAATGTTAGTTGTTTTATCATGCCAAACATTTTTTTTTCGTTATTGTGTTATGTTTTTCCGTTGAATGTGAATAATAAAATTGGTTTATTCGGAGTTAACAGGTTTGGGAGTCTGTATCTTCCAGGGGGGCTTGCAGATGGCATTTGCCTTTGATAGTGTTATGGATGGCACCCTATATCGTAACAGTACAGTTGACTTATAAGGCATGGGTTCTCATCTGAGGGCCGCAGAGCAATTGGAGGAGGCCATACAGCTGGCCGCAAAACTGATTCTACTCTCACTTTACAAGAAAACTCACAGCTCATTGCTTGATAAGCTTATTTCACAGGGTGTTTTTACTTTGTTGATCACGAATTGTTTCAACATAATGGGATTTAGAATCTACCAATCAAAACAACTCTCTAAATACCACTGGAATCACAAACAGGGAGCCCGAGGCCATGGGTGCTAAAAATCCCCCAGAACCCAGCCAAGAGCCATAAAAGGTTTGGAACTATTGTTATAAGAGATTCTTAAACCACGAAATGAGCAAAACTGTAGGGAAGAAGTGAATAAAGCAAGAGTTGGTGTTTATTAAAGGGCTTTCACAATCAATATACCGGCTTAGACAAAAAAAACCTACAGATAGGTTGCCGTAGAGAAGCCAACAAGAATGCTGCTTTAATTGCCAAAGCCATGCCTATTCGGCATAATTATTAGGACATTTGAACTTGGCAGTTTTAGGAACCCAGAACGCTGGAGGCGAGGTTTGTCATGTTTCTATATATATTTGAACTGGCGTCATCATTTTAACTCATTGTGGGGTGCTCCTCAAGTATTTGTACCAAGGTGACGCACAGCCTGAACCACCCTAACCTGGTACTATGTTCAGGTTATGCACCATCTTGGTACGAATACCTCAGGAGACACCCATTGTGGAGTCCATAGATTGTAGTCAGGGAAGGACAATGCCCATTTCAAATTCTTTTCCATTTGCCACTTTGCAGATAAATTCACATGCCTTTTTTTAACACCAATTTGCTCTATTCTTGAACGATATACTGAAAACTGGATGTTTTCTGACTTAATATCAATAATCCTTTGCCAGACGAACCAACCTGACCAGTGATAGGAACAGATTCTTTTTTGTATCGAACTCACTAACAGCAGATATCCTCATTTTAGAAAAGATTCACGTCACTAAGTGAGCTCCATCAACATGATTCGCTTTACATAAATCTAATACATGCATCCAAACGGCAAATATATTGCTAATCGTCAGATGCTATGACAGTGGTTTCCAACTTTTTATGGCCAGTGGCGCAGCCAGGGGGGTGGTTTTGCGGTTCGAAACCCCCCCCCTTTTGACATGTAAAAAAAATAAAATCATTTATCTGTATCATAGATAGCAGTTTTCTGTAGCTTAAAATGCTTTTTAGACCCCTAAGACTAAAAAAACATGCATATTCCAGCGTTTGATCGGACCTGCTAGGTATTTCGATGATCTAACCCCCCCCCCCATTCCAAAGTTTCTGGCTACGCCCCTGCAGTGGTCCTCTTCCGGAGGCTTTCAACACTCAAGGCACATTGGCACTCTGTTTATTGTTACAGCAGACTTATGATTATGAATCCTATGATGTTCCAACAATTCATGCTCAACATGAGGAAAACAGCCTGTGAATTAACCTTATCAAGCAATAAACTGGGAATCTTGTAAGGTAAGAGTAAAATCAGTTTCGCGTCCAGCATTGTGGCTCCCTCCTCCTACTCAGAAGAAAAAGTCTAAAAGAAGAATGGGTCGCTGATTATCACGACATATCGTTAACGCTGTACTTCACACTTACATTGCCCGCTAGTCAAAGTGGGCTAAATATTTGATCCCTGGTCCAAAATCCTTGCCCAACCCCTCTTTACTAACCACTGATTATTAATCGTCCTATCGCCCCAACCTAACGATACAAAAACAAAATCAATGCAAACAGAAAAGTTGCGCTGATTATTTGGTTTCTGCGAGACTAACTACTTATCCTTCTTCTATGCTTTTGTGTCGGCGGATCCGTATGCATATATTGCAAGGATGCTGTAGCAAGAGTATAGATAACAATCCTAAGTAATTTAAGAGACTTGCTGCACACTAACACAAATATATTTCTGTAACGTTTCGTCCGACCAAGGTCAGACTTCTTCAGACATACATAGAAAGTGTTAGCTATTCATCTCTAATAAAAGCAAAACCACTTCTAATTAAAATTGTGACTTAGATACAGTGCATGTGATGACTAAAAAGACTCAGTAATTAGTCAAAGAAATTGTAAATTATATGATACATTGCTACATCATCTGATATACAGTTTTATTATAACAATAAAACCAATTATAAAAAAATTAAAATGACATACTGTGGATATGAACTAGGTTTGTGGTTAAAAAATAGAAAGTGATACAGGGCCAGAAAGGTTCTCCTAAAAACAAGCTATTGCCACCCACACACACCTCCAGAAGCAAATCATAACGCGAAAAACAGTGAGCATAAGAAGAATAACGGTAGTAGGGTAAAACAATCATGATGGTTCTACTCAGCTCAGTGAGAAATTTGCCTTGTATCACTTAGTATATAAGGTGACCACGTATGAACGGCCATAAAACGATGAATTTATAAAAATTCGCAGATGAGCCGACCCTACAAATTGTTAACAAAGAGAATTAAAGAAAAATGACAATTGGGTTGCGCGAGACTAACCACCTGCAAGGATGCTGTACCTGGAATAAACATGACTATTTTATCCAGAGTCCACTATTTTAAAGCTGCTATTTTAAAGTCCAGCTGCACACTAACACAAATATATTTCTGTAACATTTGTCCAACCAAAGTCAGACTTCCTCAGACAAGCAGTTTACAACAATGGCAAGAAATGGTTCCATTTCTCTTATTAATAAAAGTAAGAAGTCAAAGTTTTGCTTGTATAAGTTGAATTTTTAGTGTGATCAGAGTTAGGATTTATGTAATATATAATGTGCGTGGCTCAAGGCGTTGGTAGTTGGGAAATATTGTAGATTCTATAATAAAATGAAGCATCAGCTGTATGGTAATATCGCGAAGATAAAAATAATTAAAATCAGAAGTGACGATAAAAATACGATATAGATATATTGAACTTGATTCAATTACAACAAACTTCATGAATAAAAAAAACAGTCGTTTGAAACAAGACATGGCCGCCAATAAAAATATTAGGAGATTATTTTTTAAACAAAATTTGAAATAAAGGCTCTTAAAAAAATTTTTTTCTCTCCATATGTAATTTCCGACATTTTTACAGTCAAATTAATATATATACCAGAATTCTCATTTTTTTTATTACAAAGACTCCAAAGCCTGCTAACATAAACTTTTCTCCATATTATTTTGTCTGATAGAAATTTTTAGCAAAAAATCATCAATTTTCCAGTTTCTTTGCTGTTCAAGCAGTTGTATCATTTTTTGTCAGTGCAGATTGGTTGAGCCCTGTGAATTGAACAACTCCAGTAAATATTTGATATTTGTGAATAGATCGGATAAATTTTACATATTTATCTCCTGTGAGGAAGAGGAAAGCCGATAAGACGGCTTAATCATATGGCGAACCACGGCCTCTCGTCCGGGTATCATTCCATGACGGGTATGGGATTAGTTAGTTATTAGTTTTCGGAAGCATGGACTTGATGGTTGAGGAACCAACCAACCAGCGGTTACCAGCAATCCTCCAGTACATAACTATCCCCGCATGGGATTCGAACATGCGAACCCATACAGTGTAATGAGAGGTGCGTACGGTGGCAAGCATATTCCTAACGCTTAGCACAATGCACCACACCAGCGAGCCTTCGAATTGACCAAAGACTCAGATACCCTGTGAAAACTGGACTTTGGAACTTCTATCCTTCACCCCGAGGTAAATACGAAAAAATCCTATCAATAAATCTTAAAATTTGCTGGGAATCAGAAGTGACGAATCCACATGACTCAAACTTCACTTTCAAATTAGGGTTTGAAGACTTGAATTGGACTCTGTCCTTCCCCTGGGACAAACAATTCTATCCTCCTTACGCGGCGGTGTAGCTCAATGTGCTAAGCGTTAGGCATACGCTCACTACTGCACCTCTGATTACTCTGTGTAGGTTTGCAGATGCAAATCCCAGGCTGGGATAGTTATATGTGCGAGAGGATTGCTCGACTTCTCGCCACCGTAGGGTGGTTCACAGAACCGCTCGTCAGTTACGACTTCCTCCACCATCAAGTCCATGCTTCCAAAAACAAGCAAATAACTAATCCCATACCCGACATGGATTGCTAACTGGATGAAAGGCTGTGGTTTGCCCTATGGTTAAGTCACCTTATGTCTTTCCTCTCCCTGGGATAAATATGTGAATCCTAACCTATCAATATATTTTATACTTACCAAGCTCAGGGTATGGGCAAACTAAATTTTTTCTACAAAAATATTCATGGTCGTCGATTTCCGTTATGCTTGGGCGCTCATGTGGATCCAACCGTAGCATCCAACGAACCAAATCTTTAAGTTTTGGCTCCGATTTCAATTTACTCAAATCACATTCTTGGTAATGCTTTATATTGAGATTCCTACGATCTGGGTCATCACCAAACGGATGAGAGCCGTCAGTTTGAACAAAATATATCAGAAGAGCTAGAGAGAATATGTCAGCTTGCTTCGTACGGACATTTGTGTTGTACATCTCTGGCGCCCTCCATCCATTAGTACCAACGCACATATTTTCTGAGCTAGTAACAGATTCTCCGTTCATGACTTCACGACTCGAAGAAAAATCGATTAATTTCACTTGGCTGCCACCCAGTGATATTAAAATATTTTCAGGTTTTAAATCACAATGAATGACATTTTTTCCATGAACATGCAAAATTACTTCGACAAGATTTTCGATGAGTTTTTCCCTGAGTCTTTTAGTTATTTCCGTCTTTTTTATGAATTCTGCTAAATTATCGTTCCCACACAGCTCCATTGCTATGTATATATGCTTGATAGGACCAAGAAGGTAATGCTCACACTGGTAAATAATGGGTACGTTATGATGACGGTTAACTTTGACGTGTATTTGCGATTCTCTGAGGGTTTCTTCGTTATATTCCATGAATTTTATAGCGATATCTTTATTTCCTGATATGCCGTGGGATTGCACGCCTTTATACACATTTCCGTTCTCAGAATACGGCTTCTCATGGAACATATAAATTGAATCGGACAGACGGATAGATCCTGCAAAATAAATTTAAGTTTGTTACTTGTATAGCAGTTCTGTGAAGATCAACATGTTTTCCATATTTTAATAGGCCTGCAGTGGTGAAATCGAAGTTTATACTTTCAATTGTGATGTGTGGTTGTGATTATTATGATGTGTGGTTCAATTGTGATTTGGCCAACCAAATAAAGCATTAATGTTGTGTTAGCATCACAGATTACATTTAGGGTTCAAGTCCCATCCCCCCCTACCCCACTCGATTGTTTGCAAAATATAGCACCTCTTTTTGTTCTGTAAAATATAAAAAAAAAAAATTCTGTATCATACATCGCAATTTTTTGTAGCTTGAGACCCTTTTTAAACCCGCAGGGACCCTTGAAAACCCCTGTTTTCCAGCCTTCGGCTTTCTAATTTTGCAACTGAAAATTCCTGGTGTGGCTGCTTTATAGAGTTTTGTTTGAAGTGAACATATCCTCACAAAAAGACAACAGTGGCAGCTTTAAATGAGGCTTGTTCGGAGAAAGTTATTGTATGAAAATGTAACAACTACTAACCTGGTACTGGATTCGGTCCTGGTTTCGTTGGAGGGGGAATCACCTCCTCTTCATAAACTGGGGGTGATTCTGGGGCAACAAATGTCCCCTCACTCTGGTGAATTGTCACGTTCGAACAATCAGTGATGACGTTCTGGGCCGTGATAGATCTGCCTGCAAATAATATATAGAAAATTTGAGCAACGTTATGTACACTCACTCAGAAGTAAAAGAGAATCATCTCTGAGCAAAGTTACAAAAATTCACTCAGAAGTAAAGTAGACTCATTTTAGAGCGCCAATACTTGCTTTCTTTAAAGTTTCCAAAACAGGTTTTAAAACATCAGACTTATAAAGCACTGCGTGGGCTCACTTTGTGACAAAGTATACAAGCAAAAAAAACACGCTAATTTACTCTCAAATCGAGTTTTTACGACTCTGAGCATGAGGGTGAAAATTTAGGTTTCGTAACTTGTCTCTCCAAAAAAGTTTTCAGCCGTTAAACTTCGTTGGTTGTGAACTCCTGCCTGTCAGTAGGGTGTAGCTACCCGACAAAAAAATCCACATCTATTTTGTGTGACCTTTTTGACCCGAATTGCTTCTAGTCTCATGCCACATTTTTACTAACATGTAATCTATAGTTATTTATATAGTCTTGGCATTCTAGTAGTCGCTCTTAACTTCACTCAGGAATGATTCTCCTTATTTTTGAGTGAGTTCTATAGACCTTGCTTTGAGAGAAATATGAAAATCTGATATCAATGTTTCCCAAATGGTGGCCAGCAGACCAATTACGACCCGCATTTAATAATAATTTAATATGGCTCGTCGAACTTCTGTATCAGAGGCTGCCAAGAGAGGGTTTGCGGTCAGAACCCCAACCCTTTTAAAATGAAAAAAAAAATAAATTCTGTATCATATATTGCAATTTTTTGTAGCTTGTAACCCTTTTTAAACCCACAGGGACCCTTGAAAACCAACGTTTTCCAGCCTCGGGCTTTCTAATTTTGCAACTGAAAATTCCTGGTGTGGCTGCTTTATAGAGTTTTGTTTAAAGTGAACATATCCTCACAAAAAGACAACAGTGAGTGGCAGCTTTAAATCAGGCCTGTTCGGAGAAAATTATCGTATAAAAATGTAACAACTACTAACCTGGTACTGGATTCGGTCCCGGTTTCGCTGGAGGGGGAATCACCTCCTCGTCATAAACTGGGGGTGATTCTGGGGCAACAAATGCCCCCCCACTCTGGTGAATTGTCACGTTCGAACAATCAGTGATGACGTTCTGGGCTGTGATGGATCTGCCTGCAGATATTATAAAAAAATTTGCTTAATAAAGCAATGCCAAGCGTACTCATTTAGAAGCAAGGAAGACTCATATCTGAGCAAAGTTACAGGCACTCACTCAGAAGCAATGGAGACTCATCTCTGAGCAAAGTTACAGGCACTGACTAAGAAGTAACGGAGACTCATCTCTGAGCAAAGTTACAGGCACTCACTCAGAAGCAAAGGAGACTCATCTCTGAGCAAAGTTACGAAAACTCACTCAGAAGTAAAGAAGACTCATCTCTGAGCAAAGTTACAGGCACTCACTCAGAAGCAAAGGAGACTCATCTCTGAGCGAAGTTACGAAAACTCACTCAGAAGTAAAGAAGACTCATCTCAGAGAAATGTTAGCTACCAGACAAAAAAATTCATATCTATTTTGTCTGACCTTTTTGACCCGAATTGCTTCTAGTCTCATGCCACATTTTTACTAACATATAATCTCACAATTATAGGTATCTATATATTATAGTCTTGGCATTCTAGTAGTCGCTCTAAACTTCGCTCAGGAATGATTCTCCTTATTTTTGAGTGAGTACTATAGACCTTGCTTTGAGAAAAATATGAATATCTGATATCACTGGTTCCCAAATCGTGCCCAGCAGACCAATTACATTCAATATTAATTTGGTATGGCCCGTCGAACTCAAGTGAAATAGTTAAACAATCCGTTTTGTGTTCTAGATATTGCCGATTGTCACATCATTATCACAGCATGTGTATATATATATATATATTCATAATAATTCAATATCTTAATTAGACGTATCGGCCCCATGTTGCACCCCCCCCTCTCCTGGACCGCGAATATCCTTCAATTCCTAATTTTAGCCCACGGTCAATCAACTTTGGGAACAACTGTCCTATAGATAATCTATGAAAATCCTTAAAAAATATAAATTTTTGTAAAAAAGCACCTCACCTTTGTTTATGTATACTTTCGGAGCTGGCATGGTTCCTGCTTTCTTAGATTCTTCCAATAACGAACCTACGTTTCTTAGAATATCACTACAGAGGGCTTCAGGGTCGAAATCATTTTGACCACTAGAGGAAGCAGAGGCCTGTTGCGATGCATTCCAACCAAAGCCAAAACCTGGCATCCCATAATTTCTATCCATGTTTCAGTGATGAGAAATATGCAAATTAAGAAGTAAAATGCAGCTATAAGAGCTATTATATATAGTAACTGAAATTAGAAATAACATAGCTACGTTTATTAATTTTCAAATACATTATACATAAATAATATTAGAGAATAGGTATTAGTGAATCCATATGTTCTGACTGTAGGGATACTCAAACACAGCGATTCCAAACGATTCCCAAGGGGCATGAACAATTTTTTAAGGCTAATTAAAAATAAAAATGTTGTTAGATTTGATCTTGCCTGCCTTATTTTGGATATTTACGTTTCGTATTTTCATTATTCACATTCAATCCACGTATTTTCAAGGTGTTTTTTGAATAAAACATACTTCCGCCTTACTATCTGTTATTTGTAGCTGATTGTTAGCTAGTTATTTTTGAGGTGTGGCGAGACTTGACAAATTCTGAAAAGGTAAAAAACCACTGTCCTACAGTATCCTTGCAATAGGAGTGATACATACGGATTCACTAATACAAAGGTAAGGGAATAAGCAGTAACAGAGTCGAGTTATAAATTTGTGAAATACGTTATCGAAAATTTACACATGAGGGGGACCAGATGAACCAATTGCGGGCGACCATTCTGACAAAATATACCAGAAATACCATACGGTAGTTTATGGATGCAGCAAAATTCTTTGACTAAAAATGTAGAGTTCCACTAGATATTTCAATAAAATGAAAAACGATGAAGTGAAGAATCGTTAAAAATAGTATGAAATAAAAATATTGCACATAAACATGATATTTATGATAAAATCATGATAGAGGAAAACAGTTGCAGAGTCTTAATCCATCGACAAATTAAGTATGGTGATTGAGAAACCAAATAATTTACAGTTTCACAGGTATAACTCTGGCAGGAGAGGTAATCTGATAAGACTAATCATTTGAAAAACCACAGCATGTATTCTTTGTTTCAGTAATCTGTATTAAGTATAGACAAGACAGCAATGAACAAAATGAAAAAATTATGAAGATTGTAAATCTCTTGTTATGAGGAAGAGGTCTGTATTGAGTAAAGACCGGAATGACCAAAATAAAAAAAATTACTCTTTCAAATAGATTCTCATTCTCTCCTACCGAGGAAGATGAAAGTCGTCGTGCCCTAAACCTATGGCAAACTACGGGAGACTTCCCCTTTCCAAAAAAAATATCCAAATCAAACTAATTGAAAATAAACACTACAGTATACATAAAAAGGTGCTCCCGAAGTATGCGAACCAAGATGGCGGACATCCGAACGTAACGTGGGTAACAGGTTAGGTTTAGGCGATAATTTTTTTCCAATTTTCCTTATTTTAGTCCTTTTATCAGTTCGAAGACGAGCCAAGAGCCTCCCGTAGTATTTATACCTAAAATTATGTCCTAACCCTAACCTAGTACACATATTACATTCCGATGTCCACCATCTTGGTTCGCATACTTCGGGAGCCCCCATCAAAATCATGAACTATTTCTAACGGACTAATAACTTCATGATAGCTGCTTAATAGTGATAATTCTATAGGCTACTTGATTCAAAATAATATCATCATATTTCCAAAAACTTTGGTAGAACGATTCCTAAACCATGAGTCAAAATGCAATAGCAGAAAACGTATGAATATAGGAATAGAATACACATAATCTTATAATTTTACGCCTAGAACGTAAAAAGGTAAAAACAAACTATTTCACTTAACATTGACGAGCCATATTAAATTGTTACGTGGGTCGTAATTGGCCCATACATAAAATACATGCATAGATAGAAAGTATTGAAAAAGGGCAGCAGGGACAAATTTTATAAGCTCAAACTTCTCTTTACCCATTACATTATCTTAATTTGTTTTCTATAACCAGTAATCACCCCACATCCCTAAAAACTACTTCTTTGAAAGTCCGGCGAACACAGCAGCTGTTATCGTCAACGAATATGCAATCCCCATGATGATGAAATTACGACGGCCCTGGAAAAGAGTTCAAATGTCTTTTCAGAACTCCAAAAAAAGTGGTAAGTGTACTGATAGAAGGGCGCTCCAGAAGTGTGTGTACCAATATGGAGGTAACTGATTTTGTTTGCCTACTTTACATCAAATTGTGTAAAGGGACTGAAACCTATGGGCAGGCGGTATATTCACTTGGCTAACAGAGACAGTCCCCGGACTCGTGATAAAACTAAAATAAGGAAAATCGGAATAAAATTATGCCTCAACCCTGGCCTGGTACACACACTACAAGAGTACCCTAAAAATTTACGTTGGACAAGACACTTAAAAAATTATTCTGGATGCATTTTTTAAATATCTATCAAGAATGCCCCATTAGCTTGATGTTTCTTGAATCTTTGTCAAAATGAATTCCACAAGAACATTGGGCCTGGTTAATACTTGCATTGGATGACCGTCACAGAATAAGTGAGAAAAAAAATTTGGAGGGGAGAAAATTTGTTAACTTGTGTGTTTCAATTTATATTTTGTCCAGCTGCTTTTCATCCTGGGATGACTGTGCTCTAACCTTATCTTTAACTGACCAATGACAGCACAGCATGATGGTATTGAATTGTGGGTAAAACCACTGAAGCATGCTTGCTGGGTGTAAATACTGTCATGCTGGTCTCCAGAGGTCATTCAGTACTTTGGTATAACCCAACTTACCTTTACTTCTTTATATACAAATACACCCCATAATGATGCAATAATACCAGGTCCAGTTGTAACAATAGGAAAACTAACAGCTTCACTCAAATACTCGTTTGCAATGAACCAACCAATGTCGGCAGCGCCCCACATCCATCCCGATATTATTCCGGGGAGGATCACTGAGGGGTAAACCTGATAAAAAAAAATTCTGATTCAAAAGAATGTTAAGATCGCTTAGTAAAATTAAATCTTTCCAAGTTTTAGACGGAAGTTTGGGTACTCCCGAAGTACGTGAACCAAGATGGCGGACACCTAAACGTAGTATGTGTACCAGGTTAGGGTTAGGCCATAACCTTTATACCTCCCGTGGTATTTATACCTAAAATTATCGCCTGATCCTAGACAGGTACACATACTATGTTCCGGTGTCCGCCATCTTGGTTCACATACTTCGGGAGTACCCAATTCAAGGTGTTTAAAATAACAACTCCAGCATTGACTCTACAGCCCCATCTTAAGGAATGTATTGTTCTTACCTTTGGTTTGTTTTTCTTTATGATGCAATAAATAATGAAATAAACTGAAGACGTAGCAAGAATTCCACAGAAATGCGCGAATACGTAGTCAAGATCTGGAATTAAAGATGAGTGAATGACAGGAATCTTCCCAGTACTCCCGAAGTATGTGAACCAAGATGGCGAACTCCGGAACGTAGTATGTGTACCAAGTTAGGGATAGGCCATAACTTTATTCCAATTTTCCTTATTTTAGTTTTATTACGAGTTCGGAAACTAGACAAGTGACTTCTGTAGTAATTCTACCTGAAATTATGGCCTAACCTGGAACACATACTACGTTCCAGTCTCCGCCATATTAGTTCACATACTTCAGGAGTACCGAAGATAATATACACCAGTGGTTCTCAAACAGCGGGGCTTTCACCACAAGGGGGCGTTAGACAATTTTTTGAGGGGGCATGAAGCTAATTAAAAACGAAAATATTTGCTAGATTAGATCGTGGCCACCTTGGATATTTATATGACTTTACTGTTTAGAGATCGTAAAGAGGATTTTAGGGGATTTACATATTTTATCCCGGGGGAGGGGAAAGCCGATAAGACGGCTTATCCATATGGCGAACCACGGCCTCTCGTCCGGTTACCATTCCAAGTCGGGTATGGGATTAGATTTACTGTATTGTTTGTTTTCGGAAGCATGGACTTGGTGGTGGAGGAAGCCGTAACCGACCAGCGGTTACGTGAACCACCCAACGACGGCGAGGAGTCCAGCAATCCTCTCGCACATAACCATCCCTGCATGGGATTCGAACCTGCGAACCCACGCAGAGTAGTTGGAGGTGTGGTGGCGAGCGTATTCCTAATGCTTAGCCCGTTGAGCCACACCGCCGCAAGAGCTGTTGTGCTTGTTTTTAATTTTGATTATCTGTTATTTTACTTTCTCCTAATCTGTTACGTACGAGAGGTCGTGGTTCGTCATATGATTAAGCAGTCTTATAGTCTTTCCTCTCCCCGTTTAAATATGTAAATCCTGAGTAAAAGTACCATAGTTACCTTTCTGTGAGGCTCCCTTGTAATTATCCTTGATATGAATGACAGGTGCAAATGAAACTCCATACAATGTGCCAGAGAATACAGAGAGCAGGCAACCTCTAAAATAGAAAAGGATTTTAAGTAAGGCTATCGAAAGTCGGGAGTTTGACGTGTTTTTATTGGTCAGATTTTCAAACTCTAAGGGGTCGAAGGTCAGAGTCAAAATTTTTAAACTCTAGGGGTCGAAGGTCAGAGTCAAAACTTCCAAACTCCAGATTTGCAAACTCTAAGGGGTCAAAAGTCGGATTCAAAATGTTAAAATCCTCAGAGTTAGGATTGAAAGGAGGTAATAGCTGTATATTCCAGTGTTAACCTGATGGGGAGGGATATGGTCAAGGCAAATGCAAGACATAGACTGGCGGGCTTTTTTTTTATAAAACTTCGCTTTGAGAGGCCTAAATGAATGCTATTTGATAAGTTGTTACTTATCGGTCTCGATCGGTAAGTATGTTGATAGGTATTTGTCTGTTAGACACTTTTGGAGCCTTTTGGATGAATTATGTCGTATAATTAGCGAGTTATTAATTAATTAGTGATAGGACATGCGGTATCGCTATTGAGTCTGAGCGAAGGAATCGAAACTGCAGTTTCTGTGATAGGCTAGAGGCTGAGGTGCTCCCGAAGTATGCGAACCAAGATGGCGGACATCGGAACGTAACATGGGTAACAGATTAGGGTTAGGCGATAATTTTTTTCCAATTTTCCTTATTTTAGTCCTATTATCAGTTCGAAGACTAGCCAAGAGCCTCCCGTAGTATTTATACCTAAAATTATGGCCTAACCCTAACCTAGTACACATTTTACATTCCGATGTCCGCCATCTTGGTTCGCATACTTCGGGAGCCCCGAGGCTGAAACCAAATCGAAACATCATCAAAATTGTCGAGTAAAATATTGAACAAGCGGAAGATCGATAAGTCGGCGGTCTCCGATAGCTATCTAGTTTAATAAAGTTTTGTACATTTGTATTGAAAATCCTAATTATGTCAATTTTTTGAAAAGAAATTTCATCAAAATCATCAATTATATTGCAAGCTATAATTCTTGAAATACCAAAGCAATGTTATACCCCAGTAAATACTGAATGCTTGAAATGTAAAGCATTCAGAGACTCAAGCTAATTTCAACCCCCATCCACTTACACAATTCTTTTTCCTCTCAGTGACAACCTATCAGTCCACGATTCATCATCTTCTTCCATTTCTTTATCAGTGGAATCAGGAACAATTATCTGAAAAAATTCAGAGATAAAATTAAGCTTCTGATACAGCGGTTTCCTGCTTCCATTTCGTAGAAAAATAGGACAAGACTAAGTGTTGAAAAAGACGTAAGAATTCAAGTCTTCGTCTTAATCCAAAATATTTAAAAATTTCGGGAGGGGGAACTCCCCTGTTTACGCCTACGATTCACAGTCAAATTTTAACCCCTAGTCTATGTTAAATTTCCCAGACTTGTAAAAGAGCGGAAAAAAATATTCCAGGTCAAAATTCCAAACATATTTTCACCTCTGCCTCTGGTATGACGCTATTGAGAAGTCTATTTTCGTCTTCTTCCAGTTGACGCCCACTAGTGGATGTATCAGATTCAACAAATAACCAGAATACAGTGCTAGAGAATAAAAAATAATTTGAGAATTTCTAAGACGAATTTCAAAATTTAAAATAAAATTATTTGAAAAGGTTACGGAGAAAAGGCCGTTAAAGATGAATGATCCATATAGGGTACTGGCCAGGGCGCTCCCTAAATACGTGCACCAAGATGGCGCACAACCTGAACCCTGAACTGGTACAACTACTATGTCAAGGTTGTGCGCCATCTTGGTGCACATACTTCTAGACGTCCCTGGACAGAACTAAGGATTTCTAACTTTTATAATTCGTACCCGACCTCATTACAAATACTCTGAGCATTTATCGTGACACTTCGGTTTTGCAATACTACAGGCACATCTCTCTCTCTCTCTCTCTGTTCCCCACGGAGGCAGAGGGCCCAGTTTGGTAGCGCCTGAACTAGAAAATAGCCATCTCACCTCAGCATAGCCAGACCAATAGAGATGTAGTTGAATGTTGTATTGTTTGGGATTTCTTTATGAAGACCAAACCATCCAAATCTGTAAGTAGAATAAATTAAATTTTAGCAGAAATAGTAATAGTGATCTAATAGTTTGTACTGGTACATAGGTGGGGCTCTGCATTTTGAAACAAATTTTCGAATCCAATAGAGGATTATTCGAAAGGGTTCAGACAAAAATTCTCAATCTTTTTTTTTCTGTCTGCCTAAGGCGAGGTGAATTCCTCAATTTTTTTTCTATGCCATATTTTTAAAATGTATACGACATACTCAGGAGTCAGGATCCTTAAAAATTCATGTATCACCCTATGGACGACCCCGCTGGCTGATACGGTCTAACTTGGCAATTAGAATTTTTGAAAATTCCTGGCTACACTCTTGCCTGTTTGCACCCACCTTCCACTGGCCCATCCTGACAGCAGGTTGAAGGAGCCCCAGATCAGTAATCCTAAGCCAAGTCCAATTGTCTTGATAATCGGGACAACACACATATTTCCTGTAGACCAGAGAACACCTGAAAACAAAGAAAAGTTCAGTTTTTATTCAAGAATTTAAGTTATGTCAAGTCAAATCATCTATTAACTGGTATTTGCTGGCACTGCAACAGTTAGCGTATATCACATATAAGCTGATCGCCCTAAAAACAACCGTAAAACAGTGAATTTATAAAAATTACCATATAAGCCGGCCTTACAAATGGTTATTGCTGTCATAGCGTAAACATGCAGGTGATCCTGTGTCTGACAACCAATCACAGACTGTTATCGCTGTCAAAGTACAAAGCGCAGTACGCTCTTATTGCGAGAACTTAGTATGGTTCGAGTTGTAGCTGTTGGAATTAAGTTAGCATAATGTTATTTATTTATTATGAAACCTTACCTCCCAACATAGCAAGTCCGTAAAACTTAGGGAAGCTCTGAACAGCGTTAACTATGAGACCTGTCATCCATATCGCTACGCATAGGATCCATTGAAAAAAGACACCTGGAAATAAGAGAGAATTGTATGTATAAATAGACAAAAAGATGGAATCACACAAAACTTATGCTACTCCCGAAGTATGTGAACCAAGATGGCGGACCCCGAAATGTAGTGTGCGTACCAGGTTAAGGTTATATTATAATTTTGATCTGATTTTCATATTTTTGTTTTTTCACAAGTTCGAGGACTAGCCAAGTGACTCCCGTGGTATTTGTACCTGAAAGTATGGCCTAACCCTAACCTGGTACACATACTACGTTTCGATGTCCGCCATCTTGGTTCACATACTTCAGAAGCACTAAACTTATGGCCTGGTGGTCAAAATGATGAGCTTGACTATATCGGCATCACTTTCTAAAAAACTCCGCCCCTTCACCTTGGCAAAGGTGTAAAAAATTGGGTATGGAATGGAAAACCAGTGAGATTTCAAACTTTAGATAAATAATCTCTTTCGAAATGAAACACCTCAATAAAAGAAATCTTTGCTAAGCCAGAGAAAAGAGCAATGCTGGAGAAATAATATGGTTTGCTGGAACTATGGTTTTTATATAAATGACTTTCATTTTTCTTTCTTTTGTTTCATGAACATTGAAATGCAACACAGTTAAGACAGGGTTCATCACTAGGTCATGAGATGAAATTAAAATTAAATAATACAAAATGTCTACAATACAACTCCATACCATCTCCAGTATCATATTTCTTCACAGGAACAAAATTGCTTCCGAAGAAAACAACGGCGACTCCAGCACCGATATATCCTTGCCATGAGTTGGAAGAGTTGCCTGAAAAGAGAGAAAAATTTCAATTTCGAATAATCGCAAAATGAAATGGTGTTTGTTTGACAAGAATAATTCAATATTTGATTTGAAAAGAAACGCCCAGCACTAAAAATCATTAATGTATTGGTTTTTAGCATCTTCCTTCAACCTGAAAAGACTTTTTTTATGTTATTTTTGATAATATTCGCTCGTAGAAAGTATATTTGGTGCTCCCGAAGTATGCGAACCAAGATGGCGGACATCGGAACGTAACATGGTTAACAGGTTAGGGTTAGGCGATAATTTTTTTCCAATTTTCCTTATTTTAGTCCTATTATCAGATCGAAGACTAGCCAAGAATCTCCCGTAGTATTCATACCTAAAATTATGGCCTAACCCTAACCTAGTACACATGTTACATTCCGATGCCCGCCATCTTGGTTCGCATACTTCGGGAGCCCTGTATATTTTTTGTGAAGTGAGAAAAATAAATCACTGATTACGGTACTTATTCTGGAATGGGGAAGTCGTAACTACTACAGGGATTTGCCATATTGCCTATTCTGCTTTAGTAATCTTGTGACGATATGCACATTGCTAGCTATCAATGGCCATCAGTGTGTATGACATATTTTATAGCTATGAAGCCTGTACACAAGGTTTCCATAACTTTTGAGGTACGTTGATAATTTGTATTATTTTTACTGAGATAAGTCAGTCAGTAGTTTATTTTTACACATGCCTAAAGTACACATTTTACGGACATGATTAAAAAAATAAAATAAAATGCATTTCAGTGTGGAGGGAGATGCGATAAATCATACGGAGGAAAAAAGTCGAACATAGAATACTAACAAAAGCCGGAACAACAACATAAACTTCAAAATTAAAAAAATAAAGTAGCCTACATGGGTAACGAAGGCCCATACATTGACAGTTGTATGTTCCTCAAGATTTTAATCTCGAAGGCCCATCCATTTCAGGCCCATCTGTTTACTATTAAACCAATTGATGAGAAGCCCAACCTCTTTTTTCCAGGTGTTTTTCCAACGTATAACAGCCAACGGGAAAACATATTTCGAAGTTTTGCGAATTTTGAAGTCTAGTAGAGGGTTAAAACTGTCCTAAACAGTGACAACTTACTACAACAAACTGTTAGCAGTGAAAAATATAATCAAATGTGATTATAGCATATTGTTCTTAATGCGCCCGCCGCCCTTATATTTTTCTATCACAGCGTCCTTATTTTTTTCTGGCCCTGAAGCCCTGCCCTAATGTTAACACTTACTTGGTGGAGCAGTGGTGTTGCCGATACTTGTAGTAACTGAATGTGTCGTTGCGTTACCAGAAAATAATGTTGGTTTTGTCGGAGAATAATAATGGATTTTTGAGTCTGAAAACATGAGAGAGCAACAATTAAAAAGAAGTATTATAGGATAGGATTTACCTATTCATCCCAGGGGAGAGGAAAGCCAATAAGATGGCTTAATAATATGGCGAACCACGGACCCTCGTCCAGTTGCCAGTCCATGTCGGGTATGGGATTAATTAACAAGTTATTTGTCTCAGATAAGGCATGGAAAGCATGGACTCATTCAACGGTAAAGCTGCTGTAACTAGAGAGATAGATAATGATTTATTAAATATATCAAAAATGTACAGATTACAATGGATGGAAAAAGCAATCATAAAATATACTCGGGAGGGGACAGGCAAAACTACAAGATCCACTAGCACTGACATTCTAGGACAGGGGTTCCCAAACCAGGGGTCGCGACCCCAAATTGGGTCGGAGTGATAAGTAGGTAGGGTCGCAAACAGGTCATGGGGTCGCCGAGGTATGGTAGAGGATGGATGTACAAAACATCTAAGATTTAACAAACCAATTTGAATTTAGCAGTTTGTACCATGGCTTACTGTAAAACAGGACCATAGGCATCGCTCTATGCTTATTCTATAGAAAATGTAGGCGCTTGTTTGGTTTTAGCTTATTTTACTTAATACCATCACATGAACAAACTCAAAAGTCCAGTGAAACAAGCTCTAAAGTTTCATGAAAAATATATATATATTGACCTGGGGTCGCACTGGAAACTTGAAAGATGTATTTGGGGTCGTCCTGAAAAATGCTTGGGAACCCCTGTTCTAGGAGCTAACAAAAACTTATGAAAAATTTGGTGAGATCATTATTTAAGTAGTGAATTTGTAACCAAGGTCAAACAAAATTGAGATGAATGGTTTGGTTAATTTTCTATTATTTTACAGTTTGCAGAGTTCAATGACAACAAGGAACACAGCCGAGACTGGAAACAATAATTTGTCTCAAATCAAAATTAATTGAAATATCAAATTCCATTTCGGATACTCAACTTGTCTCGGACATCCCTGTGCTAGACAGTACATCAGAACTAATTTATTAAATCAACCAAAAATACCTTTGACATGTTGAGATGATGCGAGTCCAATATACAAAGCAAACAAGCAGATGAGGAATGATAACTTTGGTGATGAGATAGACATGATGTAGAGGTAGTAGAGTTAAGGTTTAAAAACAATAAAACTGAAAAAAGGTGGATTAGTCTGTTAGAAAGAATTTCTGCATTAATCTCCGGAAAAAACTCATAGGTGTGTTGATAGCTCAGCCGTTGACATATCCATATGACATATGTGTGTGTACCAATATGGAGGTGACTAATTTTGTTCGCCTACTTTACATCAAGTTGTGTAAAGGGACTGAAACCTATGGGCAGGGGGATATTCACTTGGCTAACACAGAGAGTCCACGAACTCGTAATAGAAGTAAAATTGGAATAAAATTATGGCCTAACCGTAATCTGGTACACATACTACGTGAGTACCCAAATAACATGCTTGTCATCACGCCAATGTATACCTTGAGCGCATTCACATGATCGAATTTTGTGAAAGATGATTATGTGAAAAACAGAAGATTGCTTTCCTCACCCCTGGGATACATATGATATAAAAACCCTGTAATTTAAGGTTCAATTAACATCCATTAATAATGTCTTAATTATACTGTTGAGAGACCCAATCCAGAGTATATCTAAAAATCACAAATATCATTCTACAGGGTAGGGTGATTCACGTAACCGCTGGTCAGTTACGGCTTCCTCCACCATCAAGTCCATGCTTCCGAAAACAAATAACTAACTAATCCCATACCCGACATGGAATGGTAACCGGACGAGAGGCCGTCTTTTCTCTCCCCGGAATAAATAAGTAAATCCTATCCTAATCCCACAGTCTTCGGAATAAGAAAATAATTGGTTCGCCAACACCTTGCATTACAACACGACACTGCCACCTTTACTATAATTAATACTTATTAGGTTCTGGCCGATCAGCATTATAATACATAGTAGGCTGCTTTACTTCTCGCTTTACTACAAAGAAATGTTTTGTTTGTACAAATCATATGACTCAGCATAGCACTGACTTAAGCCAACAATGATCTGCTCATTTATTGTTAATTATTGACATATTTCTGTATTTAGTAGGTTTACCGACATTAAAAAGGTTAGGAAAATATGTAAAATAGGAATTTAACTAATACTGCAATTTGGAGCCTGTCGACCTTATGACCTTGCAGTCTTGCCCCCCCCTTCAAATATTCGGATTACTGGATTATATTTTTGATTATTGGTATTGTTTATTCTTTTTACTGAAATGTGTACTTTGATGATATATTCAAAAATAAATCATTATCTCTTTCAGGCTATAGTCAATAATTCGTAATTCAACTATATCTTGAATATGTGACCTTGAGGAAATTCAGAAAACTGGAACAGCAATTTTCAGATTTCGGTTTTCTATGGAAACTACGTACGGTACTTCTATCCCATGCCAATAATTTCCGCGGTGAAATTAGCACTCTTCGTCATACTAGTCTTTCGTCTTCACTCATTCACTGCATCTGCTCCTCTATTTCACTTGTATTTTACGAAAAGTTTCTCAAGAACTTCTGCTTTTTGTTTTTATTCTAATTCACTTCTGCCTTGACATTTTCTGAAAATTTTTGGGTATTTGAATTTCTTTGAGTCTTATGGCAAACGATACCGGTAATGAATTTATAAGTCCCGACTCTATGTATCTCATAGCATGTCATTGGTATGGGTAGCCTGAAAGTTGCTATTTTTGGGGTTTTTATCTGCAAAATCTGCCCGAAAACCCAACCCATTTCTGTGAAAAAAATGTCGATCCTGCCTATTAACTGAACGCACGAGGCGCTATAGCATCAAAAAATTTTGTCGACTTTCGTTCTCAAGTTTGTTTCGAAGGCAGTGAAGTTACGATGCTATTTAGCTATTTATGTCTACCTTATCCATATCTAATAATTCAAACTAAATAAAATAATAAAATATTTGGTTGGCGTTCTCATGCTTTTGCCTATTTAACATTTCAAATTTAAAAAACCAGGCACCGTCGCACTAATTTTTTTTTCTGAATATGACTAATCAAACGACTGGGACATTGGCGCGGCGGTGTGGCTCAACGGGCTAAGCGTTAGGAACACGCTTGCCACCGCACCTCTAATTACTTTGCATGGGTTCGCAGGTTCGAATCCCATGCAGGGATGGTTATGTGCGAGAGGATTGCTGGACTCCTCGCCGTTGTTGGGTGGTTCACGTAACCGCTGGTCGGTTACGGCTTCCTCCACCACCAAGTCCATGCTTCCGAAAACAAACAATATAACTAATCCCCTACCCGACTTGGAATGGTAACCGGACGAGAGGCCGTGGTTCGCCATATGGATAATCCGTCTTATCGGCTTTCCTCTCTCCCGGGATAAATATGTAAATCCTATCCTATCCTAACACAATGCATAGTAATTTCACTGCGGTAGAATTGAAAGTTGCCGCCAGTGGAAAAAAAAAGTCTAGTGCAGGGTAATCGACGAGCATTGCAGATATTCAGTCAGTTGTCTTCAGGCGGCGGCTCGGGATGTTAGTCCGCCTTGGCCGTTCAGTGTATTTACCTTACGATACGCTTTTTCTCGGTTCGATGCGTAGATTTGGCAGTGGGCATTTTTGTTGTGTATGGGACCTAAACTTACCGGACAGTTCTGTTATATCGTCTTTTTTATACTGTACCCAAAGGCTAACCATTTGGAAGGAGTTATTTGGACAAGTTATTTTTTTTTAAATTATATGAAGCTTTCCTTTGCATGTTTTCTGACAGAGGCTATTAATGAGTTTTCTATTGCTCATCTTAGTATTTTTGGAATCCTTTTTTGTCTGACATATCCTAACAAATCTACCTATTTCACCCTGGGCAAAATGGTGAGTTAGGTAACTGTGATCTACTTTGTTCCGTATCTTGTAGCTCCAGCAAATTTATGCCAATAACCAAACGACTTACAGACGTAGCAACCGAGCCAATGTGTCTGATTTGGCAGGAAAACTCGATGGTAAGAGCAATTGTGATTTTAATGACTAACATTAGTGCCAGTCAAGTGTTTAAATCAAAATACCGCAGATGAAAAGTGTTGCTAATGAACTGTTCTCTTTATGTCATTTAAACGATGAATTGTTCATTAAGTTATGTTTTATTAGGCAGGCATTATATCTGACAAAATTTGATTCTCATCAGCTCGAAACTTCTAATGTTGAAAGTAGTTGTGTTTTCAATGAATAACATTTTTGCCAGTCAAGTGTTTGAAATAAAATACCAGGGACGAGTGTTGTATTTATGTCAACTACTCTACATTCTCAATACTAACTTGTTTCTGTGTTAATTGATTTTTTTTTGTATTAAATCAGAAATTATATTCAATTAGGCTTGTCCCTTACGTAGACTGTATCTTGATTGCTTAGTGTATGTATATATCATACTAGGCCATAAATAATTGGTCAAGTTTTAACTAAGTATGTACTGTCAAGTGTTTTCTTTGTAAGCTGGTAGTTCAAGTACTGTATGACGACGTTATCAGTGGGTGTCGAGTTGTTTCATCAACGTTGTTGTACTAATTTGGTAAGAATGATTAGTTGTCGCTACAGTGGTTCGTTCTGAAGAGGTTTGAAACATTTCTATTTTTAGTGAGGAGGATTGTTCGGGGAGAAAATTTGAGTACAGTCTCAAAACTACCAATCTGAATGGTCTTACACTTGTTATTGTTTAGTTGGAGCGCCTTTCGTCAGAATAATCTCAAAGTATTGCTTCCCTTAGCTGTATTTATTGTTACTCTAATTTAGGTCGAGTTCTAATTGTAGGAATGTGGATTATGGCAGTTTTAAATAGTCTAAGATTATGAATTTTGTTAAATAAACTTATATTTCCAATTTATCACCCAACAAAGCATAGATTTGTGCGTGTTTTATTTTATTTGTCATAAAATGTATCTAACCTAATCATTTGACACATATTATATTAAAATAGTTTGTTTTGTAATACTTTTTCTTTCGTAATTTTTTTTCTTTCTATTTCCAAGATCACGAGAACTAATTTTTTATCAACTTTATCAAACTTTTACTCCATTATAATCTTAAAAAATACTTTGGCGTAAAAAGTATTTGAATTATCGCCCTCTCTTGATTTGTCACTTGTATGATAAGGTTCAACCTGGTGTGATAATCCTTTAGCACATTTTCGTGTGAAAATATCACAACTAAGTGTCTTAGTTTCTTCTTGTACAACTCGAGTCAGGCTGGCAGTTTATTTGCTTTCTGGGATTTGGCAGAGTTGGTTTTAGCAAAATTCTTTCAGGTATGTGCAAGAGTATGCAGATAGAGTTATTAGATCTCTTTCATTAAAAGCTTTTCCTATGGTTTGTATACCAATTCCTAGGAGATAACAGAGATGGTAAAAACGAATCGGATATTCAAATTGATTGAAATGGTTTATATTTAATTTGATATTTCAGATTCTTGCTTTTAGGAATAATAATTAATAGAACAGTTCTATTTGAAAAATCCGACCAATTTATGTATCACGGTATGTTCAGGAAGAAATGCATTTCTTGTTTATTTCACTTTTCTCATATTCAGAAATCACAATTTGAAAATGCATTCAATGTTCTAAGATAAGCATGATTTAGTTAAAATGTATTCACTATTCTGTATAGAATATTAATTTATAATGTATTCGAGATGTATAATATTCTCGTAGCTCCGCTGAAACCACTTTTCAAGCGGACAATAACATCCACTCTCCTTAGGTCATTCTCACATTTTCCTCATTGAAAGTGTGAATTTCTTGTGTGTTAATTTTAGTCAATATTCACTAATGACGTCGTAGATGAGGTTAATGAGTGATAAGGTCATGCAAGTGTAGAATGTTTTGTTATTTTGAAAGGTTTAATTAGGGTAAATCATTTTTGTTCTTAGTCCCAGTTGAGTTGGCAAAAATGTAGGTATGATTATAGATTGCTTTCTGGTGCCGCTTGCTTATTTCTGAGTTTAATCCAAATTAAATAATTGAGATTAACTGTGATGAATAGAATCACAGCATCAACACTCAAATCTGTTGGCATTCATAAAATAGAAATTTGTGAAAAATATTTTTTGCAGTGCACTAGGTCACAGTTCAATAATATTGACAGATTGATACA